AGCGTTTCAAAGCTTTCCCTCCGCTGTGGAACAAACAAAGACATAAAGAAATCAAATTAAAGTTTGGAAAGGGGTGAGTAAAGAGCGGGAATAAGAGATGGAGAAGAGAGAAAGTATCCTCTGTAGTAAATGCTTACGCGCCGGGCCAAGCCGAGTGTTGGAATCCGATGAGTGTTGAGAAATGGAAAAAGAAAGGAATCATTAAAAAGACGGAGCGAGGTGGAGGGAGAGCACTATGCCCTTGTTTGCCCGGTCTGGTATTTTCTTTTCTCATTGAGCCGGTCCAAGTCCTGCAGGCAGCTTGGTGAGTCTCCCACCCAGCATTGAGAGGCAGGCCTGGGCATGCCCGGCCAAGGTCAAACTGTGGCCGCCAAGAACGTGCACACAGCTCAGCCTGCCCCCCCACACAGCTGCTCGGCTCTGTTTATGTTTGTTTTGTCGGCCCGTTTCCCTCCCTCTGCCTCCATTGGGATCGCCTCGGCAGCTCGGCCTCTCCAGAGGCTTCGGCGGCACACGCAGGTATCAGGTGACTCTTCCTGCAGTGCGACGTGCTGCTGCTGCAACACCTTCCCTCACTATCAGTATCAGGCTGTATGTAGGCCATCAGCATAGGATAACAAAGCTGCTGAATCACCTGCACGTTCAGCACCTTTCTGCAGAAAACTGTGACGGTTATTTCAAGTGAGATTTTCTTGTTTTTCGTCGTTGCATGAGAAAAGAAATTTCTCAGGAAAACAATGCACATAGTTGTGTCGTAGACGGGAGTGTAAGCTGAGAATATGTTTGGTAACCGACTCTGGTATTTAGAGACCATTGTTCTGTCACTGCAGTGAGTCACTACCTTTACGTTACCTGGACAGCATAACACTGCTGAACCCTCGAGGACAACAAAGAGGAAAAACATCTGAAAGCACAGGCTGCTGAAACTTGTAATAAATATATTTCCTTCCTACTAAAGAATACACAGAATGCAGTTTTAATTAAAAAGCTGCACTAGAGGCCGTTTGCATTTTACAACAGTTGAAATGTGACTATATTGTGTTTCATTGGTAATAAATTAACCTTTTCACAGAACCAAACAAGTGCGTTTTGAACTGCACTGTGTGGAAATTGTTTATAAAGACTGCTTAAAATGATCAACAGCAAAGTGAAATATTTCAGTGAAACAAAATCCAGTAGTAGACACACTTATTTAAGTCAGTTAAGTTGGAACTACAAAGTATAGTTTAATTGGTTGTAATAAATTAAGTTGAGTAACACGTACATAAGTGTGTTAAGTCAGTAAAATTAAATATTTTTTTTTAATCAACAGAAATAAAATAGTTAAATAGTTGCCTGATACGTTATAAATGAGTCAGTTATTGCCAATTTAATAATATTATTAAATTATAATAACTCTATTAGGTACTGGATGAAGAAAATTTAACAAATAATTTTTTAAAATGACTACTAATATATTTTATATCAGTTTTTTCATCAGCAAAATGAAGGAAATGTAATGAACACGTCTGTTAATCACATATTAGCCATCTTGCTTTTTGACAACATGTTAAGGAAGCATGTGTTTTATATCAAACTGTGCAGAAAGACTTCAGCTATCTGCACACTGAAACATAACTTTACTCATGAGTTGTTTCGGTGCTTGAAATTGGTTCATCAAAGTCTTGGATTTACAAAAATAGTGGAATATGTGAATAAAATAGTATATAAATGTATAGTAAAGTTAGTTTCACACAAAATGTAGACGGACACACCACCAACGAGGCTCTCTGCTCTTCCTCCTGTGCTAGTCACGTACACTTTCGTGAGGATTTAGAGTGCATAAAACACTTTTTGCAGCCTGTTTCTGGATAAAAGATTATAAAAACATAATTTGTTCTTTTAAGGTTTGTGTGTTGAATCACAAACTCCCTGCTAATCTAGCGAGGCAGCTAGAACCGCTAGATCACTCAAGAATCCCTCTCGCCAGGATTAAATCTAAGTGTTAGTGGGCGGTACAGTGGTATTACTTCCCAGATGGCGCAGTTGGGTTAACTTCTCGCTACATTTATTTGTATAGCACCAAACTATAACAAAAGTTACCTCAGGACACTTTTTAAATAGAGCAGGACCCAACAGTTCCCACCATGAGCACGCACTTGGTGACAGCAGCAAGGAAAAATATGTCCTTTAAAGAGGCAGAAACCTCGTGCTGACCCCGAAACTCTGGGCATCGACCGGTTGGGGTTATTTACTGCCAGTACTTCATCAAATGACGGTGATCAATGGACGCTGATTGGTGGAACCACAAAATGGATTCTTGCGTGCTTTCGTGATCTTAGGCAACCTTCCTTCCTTCTTGTTCCTTGAGGGACGCTGACAACCCCTGACTATTTTTTATGTATATTATTATATTATATTCAATGCATAACAATAACAGGAGAGAACAATTTTTGATTATTTTCTTGTCAATACTGATCAGAGATTAGTTTCACTGATATTTTTAGTAACTTTTTATATAATTCTCTGTCTGTATTATGTATATGAATATTTTTAACAATTATATATAATTAGGAGTTTATTCTCGTTGACACTTACTAATGTGTATGTAAAGGCTCTATGCCTTCAGTCTTAATAGGTCTTAAATAATAATAAAACTTTAAAAATAACTATTTAGTTTAAATTAGCTAGTCTTCACAGAAATGAACAAAATGCTGAGAAAGGGGTTTATTGTACTATTATATTTTAGGGCTTTGTGACCCTCCATGAAGCTTTTACCAGGATAGGAACCACTGATCTTATGAATCCAGCTGCCTCAGGTGAGTCGCATCGCTGTGTACCTGTAACTGCACAGCTTCTCTGGTGAACCCCCAGTTCGCTGTGTTTTTCCACAACTGTTTCCCAGCTCGCTGTGAAGGTTTACTGGTCACTGCAGAATTGGCTTTGTCATGCTCGTCTTCTGCTGCCTCATTCAGTCCTGTGAAACACCTACAAAAGAGCGTCCCCCAGCCTTGTGTAATGAATAAAGAGGCCCTCCCACTGTTTCCCTGGGTATTGTTTCCTTGTTGTTACACAGAGTGTGTATTGCTCACTAAGCCTCTGATGGATGTCGGATTACCCCTCCGCCTGTGTCCTCCTCACAAAGAGTCGGCACTGCAACACACACGCAGAGGCAAACATGCAAACACACACTCATACACTCCCCAAACATACACCCACCATCATCCTTAACATCCTGCATACAATGATCTACAAATCTTTGTGTCCTGACCCCGACAACCCGAACACATCAGCATCCATATGGCTCTGACAGGACAGTTTATGTTGTAGTGCGTTTTGATGAGATATCGGTACAAAAGGATCCTATAATAGGATGTCTACAGTCATATAGTCCCGATGCAGGAGGGGAAATGAATCAAAACTCTCTACCAAACCAGTTTATTGCCTGATCAGAGGTTAATTCAGAGCACAGTTTTTTATGGTGATGATTTTTAATGTGCTGCTGTAACAATAAGATGTGTTTTCACTTCAGGAGCAACACAAACTGTAGAGGAACAACAACTTGTTACCAGTTCCAAAATTTTTGTTTTGTCGACAGGAGTACCCTTACTTCTCATTGAGTACCGACCACCTCTAGTGAGCTTGGCCGTGCCCACCGCAGAGGTCACCGAGGGGTAGACAATTAAAGTTGCATTTAATTGCCTTAAAGTGTCTTTACTTTGATGCTTTGATGCCCCAAACCCCCCTAACAAGTTCAGGATTTGGATCTCAGCAGTGCATCTCTATGTAAATACAAAGTTAGCTTAACAATAAGACAGAACTGAAAATATCTCTCTGTTCAAATGGATTAATGGACTGCTACAGAATAAGTGTGAGGGTTGTGCTGAATTCGGAAACTGGCACCAGGTCTATTTTCCTCTCTTTCCAGTGGACCATCATAGGACCGTATTTTGGAAAGAATACATGTACAGTAGTTAACGGCAAGAGATTATTTTTTTGATCCCGTCTGATTTGTGCCATGAAATACACATAATGATGTTCGGCAATTTAAAAGATAATTTTGTTAATCAAGAAAGTCGCAGTTTGTCATAAAACGCCTCTGGGCGTCACTTTATGACGTCACATAACACGTCTTCAAACCCCACCGGGGACTACGTTGTTGACTTGTGTATTTTGGGTTGTGATTAAATGGTTTCTTTTTGGCCTGTTTGAATTGTGTTTATTGTTATTTTATAGTTTTTTGTTGTAGCATGAAATTTGATCTGAATCTGGAGTCCGCATAGGGTACAACCATGTTGGTGTTGTATGTTGTGACAAACTGATACGGTACTACGACAAACTGCGATTATTATAAATTATCTTTTAAACTGAAAACCAGAAACATAATTTCTCTCTTGCCATTAATTAACTATTGTCTCATGTTGAAACTTCGCTTCTCTAATTCTGAAGCAATGAAGTTCATATTTATCCAACAGATCCTCGTTTCAACTGGCAACTCATCGTCATCCTCAGCTTTGGATCTTCTGTGGAGTCCCCCAGGGTTCTGTACTGGGTCCGATTGTATTCTCCCTTTAGGTCACATTACGCAAAAAGGGGTTTGCACTGTTGGTTGGACTAAACAAGCTTCCTGAAGGACTCACTTTGAACTTGTGACGGCATTTTTACAAAGGAATCAATCAATGGGTTAATGGAGACAATAATCATTAGTTGCAGTCTGATAGAAAATAGTTAAAAATTTGCTCCAAATCCACAAACTACACATCAGTTTAATACTTTTAACTACATTTTACTGATTATACTCACATACTTTTACTGTAGTTAGGACTTTTAATCGTTTTAGTACTTAAATAAAGGATCTGAATACTTCATCCACCACTGGTGTAAACTGTATAAATAAAATTGAGTTTAGGATTAAAGATCCTGGTTTCTTCAGTCAGTGGAGCCTCACTTTGGTAAAACAGCACTGTAATAAATCTGGGGCTCCATCCAGCCTCTCTTTCTGTTACACCGTCCCTCCACAGTCCTCATCAACCCCAGAGCCTCGCTAGCACCAGTGAGAGACCCTCACCCATTCCCGCCCCCCACCCAGCCCTACATGACAATGGTACCAGCCGTTACCCAGGAAACAGGCCTTTCATTAGCTGTGTGATAAAAAAGATGTATTCCCCGTCTCTTCTCCGTCCACTTTTTCACATCTTTGTTATTTTGGAGGAACCTGTAGATAAGCTTCAGCTCACGAAGGCCACCGATCGCTCACCGACCGTCGTTCTCCGGTGGCATACCAGCGTAGTCGTGGGGCAACGGACTCGTCCTGACCGCCGCTCCTGAGAACTGATATTTCCATCAGTTTGAGACCTCCCAGAGTCTCTTCCTCTGAATTATCAGTCTGAACTTTAACACGTTTCCAGTAGAGTTGTAAAACTGTTCATCTCAGCTCCTCGGCTCTCAAATCAAGCCTTTGGTTAAATATCACACAGCAGACAGTTGTTTTTTTGTATTTTCCTTTTTATTTATTCATCTAATTAATGATTTTTTAGCTGGAGTTTCTTTAACTAAACTCAAAAGCACCTTACTGCGGATAGAAAATAGACTTCCACAGGAGTTGGGATTGGACTCAAAAATCCACCAAAATGTATCAATCCCCTTAATCTATGCTAGCGTATTCTTCTCACGGTTGATGTCAAACTTGCGTCCAGGCAGCTGGAAACAACACGAAGGAGTTGGAATAACGCAGCAGACTGTGTTTAGATGCCTCACTGATTAACTTACTGTACAAAAACAACTTTATTCACAGAGAAACTGGATCATATTGAATTTTTTCCTCCGGCTGTTTACTGTAGCTGCTGTTAGCTAAATTAGCCATGCAGTTAGTGCTAGAACTATTAGTCGAGCCCGGCTCCGGTACTTTGCGACCAATAGAAATCCATTTTGAAATAAGAAAACTAAAAACAGCTTGTTTTTTTGATTACTATTTATAAATAAGAGAACAAAACAAAACGAGAATGGGTCATTTTCCTTTTTTTGTGGTATGTGGGGAAACAGCCTCTTTCCCATCAAATCAATTGACCGCATCGAGCCCGGTTCTGGTGCCCATTCCGGCTAATTCGGCTCCCGGGAAGAAACCTCCTGAACGACAAAACACTAAAGGAATTATAACCGGGAGAAGTCGACTGCAATGATGGGAAGAAATCGTTTAGATGTTAGAGCCCCCTTAGTGGCACAAACTACACTTTAAAGTGGTCAGAAAAATAGATAGGCTTCACGATAGACGATGTGATGAGAGATGATGACGAAGCATTTATACCACAAATCAAGTGTTTTTACAACATGTGCGACGTAAGATTCCCTCAATCTTTAGATCTTTAAGTGGCGGCGAATGTAAAAGCACATGGGCTCAAACAGCTGGCGTCTGTAAATGGCTGCATCGCCATCCCGGCCACATCGGGTGTTGGCGTTTAGCACTTTCAGTTTGCAGCGTTCCTGGGTTGGAACAAGCAGTCAGGGGTTAGCGTTTCACCTGGAGGCTCCTCTTACCTGCAGCCGTCAGCAGGGTTCAGGGAATAATACCTGCATCGGGTTACCGCGGGCCTCTCATCTAACCGGCCTGCCACATTATAATTATGAGCCCTGCAATCCAGCTGGAGAGCCAGTAGAGTCCAGCAGGTAATAGCTGTCCAGGGGGGGCCTTGCTGGGAGCTTCAGGCTTGCAGGGGGGGAAGCAGAGGAGGCGGAGGGGAAACGTCGGCTCTCCTTTCCAGGAAAAAAGCAGTCCGGCTGGGCATGAAGCTGCAGGATCCTGCCCTTCCAGAGGAGTGTTGGGTGTCCATCATACAGAGGTGTAGCATTACAGCACTCTATCTTTGCCCTTCATCTCTCAGCCATCATTACCTCATCAGTGACCACAGACGGACACGCTCACTGACAGAGAAGCTCGTCTGTT